GGCCACACTTCTTCTGATGCAGCCCGGGATGCCGGTGGCTTTATGGGCTGCGATCACACATCGCCGGCTCATGTTGAGCTTCTCACCCATGAACACCCCCAGGTCCTTCTCCTCAGCGCTGCTCTCCAGCCATTCCCCGCCCAGCCTGGAGTTGTGCATGAGATTGCCCTCACCCACATGCAGGACCTGCACTTGGCCTGGTTGAACTTCCTGAGGTTGGCACAGGCCCACCTCTCCAGCCCGTCCAGGTCCCTCTGGGATGCCATCCCTCCCCTCCAGCGGGAGAGATCTCTGCTCTCCACGCCGAGAGGGGCGGGAAGACCCAGCAGGCTCTCAGGGGCTGAAGGCTTTCGGTTTGGAGCAATGGTAGAAGAGTTACGCGAGGACATCCCCACCCAACCGTGCCTCCCCAGCCTTGGAAAGAGCCCAAACGCCCCAGGGGCAGCCGAAACCGGTGACATTTCAGCACGTTCCTTTCTTGCTCCGTCACCGACCTTCTGGCAAGTCTCCCCGGCAGGCGTTTAAAAGCCAAAAGGATTAAATATATTCACAGGATAACCCAAAACCTGCCCCCGGGGAGGGCGGAGGGGGGGAAAACAGGAATGTGGAGGGAAAAAGCTCTGCCCTGACCACAAGTTTCCTCATTATTTTTTTCTTATTAAGCCTTTTATTTGTTGTTTGTTGGTTTTGGTTTTTTTTTTTCCCCTCCCCCATTTACACTGGTTTCGGCGGAGTTTCCCCTCACCGGATTCCGGGCGAAGCAGCGCTGCAAGACAACAGCGGGGGCAGAGATCTGCTTACCGCTTCGTAGGACTCCTGCAGCTGCTGCTTGCGTCGCATCCTGACCTGCTGCGTCACCCGCTGCTTCACCTCTCCCTGGAAGCGTCTCAGGTTGGCGGCCTTCTCCCGCTGCCGCTCCTTCAGCTCCTCTTCCACCCGCAACGCCGAAACCTGCAAGAGGTGAAAGCTTTTTACGCCGAGTTTCGCGCCACGGCGGCGTCGCAACCGCTCGGATCCCATCTTCCCTTCCCGCATCCGTCAGCCGGGCAAACGGCGGTCAGAGCAAACTTAAGGATGGTTCGTTTGGGAAATCTGCGCTCGGACAAACGTCTAGCGAATTCCTACGGGCTCGGATTGAATTTAGCTAGCCGGATCCGGAGCGCGCACGCCTCCTCTTTTAAACCCTCCGCCAAAAAAGAAAGCAAAAAGGCGGCGGCCTCATCCAGCGATTTCCCCGCTGCTGCGCCCGCGGAAGGATGCTCCGCTATCCGAAGCCCAGATCCGCAAGGCACAGACCGGCCAAAGGAAAAGATTTAAGGCAACCACCTAAAATAAATAAATGAATAAATAAATCAGGGGGTTTTGGGCTGGGGAGGGGGGTCTGTTAACGAGGAAACCGTGCCGGAGCGACACTGAACGCCACCATCCACGGCGTTCTCCTGCTCCGCTCCCCCGTGGCAACCTCATCGGCAATTCCCACGCAGAGGCATTAATATATATATTTTTAAGATGATCCGCTGGTGTATAGAAGTATATTAAATAAGCCCCGAAAACCCCCGGCACCTTCGGCCGCCGCTGAAAGCTGCTGTGCCGGGGGGAAGCCCAGGAGCGCCCACACCCCCCTCCCAAAGCAGTCGGGAAGAGTTCAGCTCCCCCTTCCGAAGTTTCCCGGTGCCGAGCTGGAAGTTATGTGGAACCTGGAGACGCTTCATTTCCATATATTATCTCAACCTTTCGGGATTTAAATTAGAATATGGAAATAAATCACGGCAGAAGGGCCGGAGCTTCTGTAACATTTTGACATTAATTACAGGGGACTGAACTCATCATCCTATATATTTAAGAGGACTAAAAGTGCTTTATAATAACCCTCAAAGCCGAAATCCCCGAGATAAGCATCGCTAAAGATTTTCTTAAGTGTTTCTAATGGGGTACAGCACAGATTGGTTCCAGACCCTGAAATATTCACCTTATTTAATTATTTTTTTTTAAGAAGAAGAAGCAACGTGGAGTAAAACCTCAGCTCGCCGACATCCTTTACGGATGAAAGGGAAGAGCAGCAGTGATAAATAAAGGGGGGGGACCGGTCAGCCGGCTCCGGCACGGCCGCCTCAAAATGCAAAGCCACCGGGTACGTGGAATTCCAAACCCGGTGCCGATAAACCAGAGAGCGGCCGGGAACAGCAAGAAAAAAAAAACAACCACATTTTAGCGCAAACCTGCGAAGTTTTAGCCGCGCTACCGACGCTGGAAGGCAGCGCCTAGTAAAACGTTGAAAATCTGTATGTTCAGCTGAAATGAAAAGCGGAGAGCGGACGGTGCGAATAATTAAGCAATCGACGGCGGCGGATTAGAGCACCGGCGGCGGATTAGATTCCTCGCCTGATTGATGGTTAAAAAGGATGCGTTTTTCCCCCCCCCGCCCAAAAAACCCCACGGCTTATTTGAGGGGAATCACCACCGCAAACAGGACGCCGAGCTACACGGACACCACAGCGGCGTTTAACCCTACTTAAAAAAAAAAAAAAAATAAAAAAAATAATCATTAATATAAATTATTCTTTTTCGGAGAAAATGGAGGAGAGAAAAAAAAGCGGATTTTTGGCTCCGGAAGGCGGGAGGGATGCCGCCGGCAGCACTCACCACGGCCAGGCTCTGCTGGGGCTCCTCGGGGCCACTCTCCACCCAGACGCCCACGGGGGCCACGCTGGGGTTCCCCTCCGCC